TTTGGTGAACTTTGCAAAGCTCTCAACACCAGTGCAGAGAAGGGGGAAAACAAAACTCTCTTCATAGCTTTTTGAATTAATGTTTTTTTGTTGCTGCCAGGCATACTCCTGCCCCTTCTTATTCCAACCCCAAGGACACCAACTGTTGGACTCCTGAAGGATGAGAGAGACAGAGAGGCTTTTCTGTGCAATAACTATATGGCACAGAAGTGCTGTGATCCATTAGTCAGCACAGCTGCTCCACAAAATAGCCAATACCCTGAATGTAACAGAACAAATTGCACATAACCAAAAAATACCTACAGCATACATCAAGCCAAAGTGACTCAAATGTCCCTTGCAGCACTTTGGGGTGCTAATAGCCCCGCAACAAATGCCTTATCGAGTGGAAAGGCCTTGAACACCCATCTTAGGACAGGTCAGGATTTTTGTATTTCGTTAGTGCCTCTTTCCAGACTAACTGAGATGAAAAAGTTGTGCGGTTGCGTTACTGAAGCCTGCCGTGTGCCAACAGGTATTCTGGTTTTGAGAGAGCTGCCTGCGCATGGCAGGGAACTTGGAACTATGGAGATTAGTTTCTACTTTGTCACTGACACTCCAAATGCACCGAGTCATTTATCATGGGGATCTGCTTTCTGATTTCTTCATAGCTACACAGTGCCCATATGGGCGAGCGCCGTGGTGCGACTGCTTAAAGGAATATTAGAACAAAGGTAAGGCACTCACTGGAGGAAAATTGCAGAGGTTACCCCGTGAGACTAAAGGCTGGTTAAATAAATGTGTCTTAGCACAGCTGAGGCTTGGCAAACAGCACCTCTGGCAAACACTGGGGGAGGAAGCTCTTCAGGGTCTGGGCTTTCAAGGAGGGAGATTCCTCCACTGGCTGTGAGCCTCCGGCGAGGCCGAGAGCTGAGGCGCAGAGCTAGCCAGCGACGGCGGGAGGCGGAGAGGATGGTGCCGGCTCGCCAGGCAGCCCCGAGCTCCTATGCTGGGATGCAGACTGACAAAGAAGGAGCAGGAGGAAGACGAGAGCGGTGCCTTAGAAAATCTTGCTGCGACTCGCTTGCCCTGATGCTGGTACCAAGGCCTCGGCTCTCTGTTACGGGAGGAGGACCATGTTGGGCGTTGACTGGACTCCCTGCTCAGCAGGGGTGAGATGTGTGGAGCAGATCGACTTGCAGAGCTCAACCCTTTCTCCTCGCTCAACTGGAACCAGAACTGGAAAGCTACTGGCTTCCCCACAGCTGCTGCCAAGTGGCGGGCTGTGTCAGCTGAGCAGCCAGCTAATTTTGACTGCTGTTAGTTCCCAAGCAGGGTCTTATGGTGGAAGAGCATGGGTTAGCAGCTCAAGGTCCTGCTTGCCAGGAGAGGCGTGGAAGAGCGCGCTGCATGCCCTCCAGCTGGGTTTGCTGTCAGGACC